AGTAGCAGACTAAAAATAGTCTTGTGTACTGGATCTGCTTTCTGGCATATGGAAAGTGTTGCTTAAAAAGCTCTAAACTGATCACCTTGACTATGGCGTGCTTTCGGAGTGGTGAACTCTTGACTGAAATCATATAGTAAAACAGACTGCAGTCCCTGAGAGGTTTGTGTAGCAGGTGTTTACAAATGAAAATAATCTTGTGTCAATGAATGAGTACTACAAAATTTGGTTATATTTCTTCTTAAGTTTCTAAAGTAACTCTCTTCTCACTCTTTCAGAATATGATAATAACGTTTATACCCTGTAACATTTGTCACAGCAGTCTTTTTTTGGTATTTGGGTACAGTATGTTACTTCTCCTTCCCTCCCATCTTGCCCTTTAATTACAACCTGTCACGAGAATGTCTGTGAAAGTGAATAATGTGTACATAGCAACCCTGATGGCTGGCCCCAAGGGTGCTGGGAACGATGCTGCTCAAGCTGTGTTGTGTTATTAGACTCTTTGCTATAGACAATTTGAAAATATTATGTGCTTGGTTTAATACATTCAGCACACATGAAAGCTGTGATTTTACTGCTTGGAACAAGGTAGTAGAAACTTTTTGATAAATGTCCCAATGTGCAGATTATTAAGGTTTTTGATGGTACTTAAAGGAGCAGTCCAGTTACACTATCTATATTGAGAGCAATACCAATACAAAGTGTTTAATATTTGCCCAAATTTTGATATGAATTTGTTGTCATCTTGTCTGTCTTTGAAAGTCTGGCTTCTTGTGTCTGCATGAGAGAGTCTTAGCTGACTGCTTTCAGATGCAAATTAGAATTTTCTGGCTCAGTCACACTCACCAGGAAGGGTGTTTTCTGTGGAATTGATTGATGCATTGCTTAATAGAGGAACAGTGGTTCCAAAGTCTTCACCAAAGCCATAACATAGTAGTCATTAAACAAGTTGCTACATATTCATCCTTTCATATATAATATCTGCTGTGAAGGTAGCAAGAGGAAGTGAAATTTAAACACTAGATGCAGCCAGTAAAAACACAGTAACTGAACTTTCTTGGGAAGTGCGTTTTGAGGAAAGGCCACCTGAGGTAGAAAGGAAAAAGTCTCAAGTCTTGTAGCATCCCTTTAATCCTCTACCTCAGATAAGCATAACTCCATTTCCCCCAAGTAGCACTGTTGTCTAAATGAAAACAGAAGCATTACAGAGGGCTATGATCCATTGGTGGTATGGAAAAAGGGTTATATCTCAGAAGCAGTGTCAACACAAGCATTTGATAAATTTGAGAAAGTATAATCACCTTATAAATGACAAAGGTTCACTTCTATTTAAAATCAACTTAATTTCATTTCTATTTAAAATCAAATTAATTATTATTATATAATACACTTCCTTTATATCTTTCAGTAAATCTCTCATTAAAATGTAGGTGGTTTACAGGTTACTAAAGATGATGTAACCCATTTGCGTATCTCTTCACCGTATTAACTTCTGTCCTAAGAACATCTCTGTAGCTTAGGTTTAGTAGACTACAAATTACATATTCTGGTGCCTGCTATTAAACTTCTCATTGACACTTTATGATAGCGTTTATAAAGGAAATAAAGCCCATGTGTGAAGTCCAAGGTGTCAGTTTCTGGTGTAGAGGGCCTGTGGCATTAATTCAGAAGAGCACCTCGAGGGTTTTTTGATGCATGAAATTTTGTTCTTTTTGGATCATTGATTTTTTTTCAATTTTTTAGGAAACATTTTTTTATCTGTCTTAATTTCTTTGATTTAAGTTGCTGATATTTGAATATAAATGAAGGTCACATTAGGGAGGAAGTCTATGTAGCTATTTCAAATAGTCCTTCCTCTCATGCCCCTCCATCAGTGCACATTCCAGAAATAACACTTTCATGTGTTTTGAAAATACGAGCTTCGTACAGTGTATTTTGGCAGAAAAAGGCACCAGGGGGTGTTGGAACATTTCAGAAGCATGGTCAACATGTTCCTGTTCTTGTCTGTGGCAGGCAGACTCCTCTGTCTGAGAGAGGAAGGCACAAACACGTCATGGGGAACAGAACTATAAAAAGTCAAAGCTTTAATTAGAAAAACTGGAATGCTAGTAAGATGACTACTAAATCTACTCAAAATTTACTGTTTCTGCTACAGTGATGCAAAGTGGGAAGGTAGAAGGTAAAACTAGGAATGTCTTTAATTGGATCAAATCCTGTTAACCTGTGAGTTAAGCCTTGACTCTTTTCTTTGCAGTGGGGAGACAGATGTATGTGCAGAGCTCTTGGAGGATCATGTTTGGTGGCAGCTCTCGGCTTATGTCAGTGTATATGCATCTGGACTCCTGACTTGCAACTAACTCCCACAGTAGTGAGGTACCAGTGGTAGTACATTCTGTGCTCACTGGATTTTCCCTGGCTAAATGTTCAGATGCAACATTTTGAGCTGTATTTGCAGCCTTTCTCACCGAAGCTATGTAGACAACTGCAGACAGTTCTGTGACATCTTAAAAAAAAAAAAAAATCAGTTCATCTTGTGGTCAGCTAACTTGTGCTCTTGTGCTTTCTGCCTGTGATTTGAAAACAGCATCAGATTCTGCAGTGCTTGATTTGCAGAGGCCCTGCAAGAAGTGAGAGATTCCTCACCATAAGGTTATGATGGAAACTCTTGTCACATGCAGTGAAGAAAATTTATTTCCAGCCATATCTTGGTTACTAAAGCAATTCTAAAATACAGTAGGACACAGGCCTTAATGCTCAAACCCTAAATACAAAGCATTTGTTCACATATTTTCCTCTCAGATTACATGGAATGGTAGTTATATTATGGCTAGGGCATCTGAAAACTTGGAGCAGAGTTTACAGTTTATTATCAGAATTGTAAAATTATCAGTAGACAGGGAGTGGAACCTCTCTGCTGACGCACGGGACATTGTACTCAGCAAATAACATGCTGCTTCCTGTCAGTCTGAACGCTTGTTGCCATTTTTCATTTCTGTCAGCTACGAGCAGCACTGGTGTCCAAGACAGAGCACTCTCCATTAGTCACAGGTGGAGAGCATTGTGAGGTGACAGATAGGCACATATGAAGTAGAGAGGTCTGGTAGGAGTGTTTCACTGAGAATATAAACTATTTTTGTAGCTCATGGTATGCACAGCTGAGCGCTATTTTTGACAAAGAGAAATATCTTCCTCTCTGTTTTACTATACACCACAGCTTTATGGACTGTGATTATAGCAAGAGGTAGTTGGACCCTCCTGGTGATACCTCGGTGCACATTACACCATTGCTGCATCAAAGAGGCTATCTAAAAGCACGGCATTTACTTTTCTCATGAAAACCACATATGGTCTAACTTTATCATTAGCTGATTTGATTTGTTAGGTTGTGAAGATTTTTTTTTTTTCATTTGATCCTTTGAATCCGGCGCTGACTGAGCCAAACTAATGGGGGAAGAGATGACTGAACTTGCTTTCGGTCTTCCTTAGGCAAGTACCCAAAACAGACATGACAGCCAAACTGTCCTGACGGATCCATTGTGACCTCTTATTCTGCCTCAACAAGTTCTCAGTGGTTACAGATCATGTACTAATTACTCCCTCGTTGCACCCATCCTGAAACAGGAGGGAACATAGTTGTGTTTGACACATAAGTGGATAGAAACTAATTCCTTGCATATATAAAATACCTTCAGTGCGAAGCAAAAGTTCTGGCTATGGAAGGAGTTTAAAACTTTGCTACTATGAACTCTTACCCGTTGAAGAGATTATTTCAGGACCTGTATTTGATCACGTAACCATGCAGTGCATCTCGTTCTGCTTTAGTATCTGTTATACTGTCAGAGGTAATTAGAAGGAATGTAAATGTAAAAAGCAATCCCATGTACTAAGTTTGGATGGGGACCCTACTGCTGCTCTTGAGTCAATAATTTAGTTGTTTGTGCCAAGTTAGTTATTTGGATGTCATGCTTGCACTGGGTTCCAGAATAGTATCACAAATAATTTTAAAGGATCAAAAAAGTAATTGTAAATGGTTTACATAGCCCATTTTGAAGCACTTGGTGATTTTACAAATGGTACTAATTTGTCAATCAAGTATAAAGCAACAGTCTGAAAAACTGGGATGTCAGGGTAAGCTTTCTCACAGGTATTGGAAATAAGGTGAAACTATTGTAATTTCTTTTGGACTAATCCATTTTGGTGGCTTGCTTTTTAAAGTATTGTGATCAATATTTAAAAGGCAAGCTTGACATGATACACAAAATATTGTTCCTGTGGTTTGGGATTTGATATTTTAATATATAATTTTTTTATTTTGGTTTTTAAATCTTTTTTTTTTTTTTTGATACACAAAATATTGTTCCTTCATCAGTGTAGCAACTTTTCATGAAGTTACTACACAGAAACTGACAACTCCTGTATTTGGTTTATGGAATGAATTAACTGAGGAAAGAGGCTTTCAAGGACTGGGGTATGTGTGTTTGTTCTTGCACCATGTAACCTGTCTATGAGCAGATGGTGGGGGGGAGGAGAGTGCAGCTGCTAGACCCCAATTTCATATCTGACATCTGTGAAATCAAGTGATGTTGGACAAGTCTGACAGGTAAGCAAAAGACTATACCATCAAACTGGGACGTTTGTGCACTTGGGAACCTACAGAAAACACTTGGGAGTTAAATTAATGCAGAGAAAAATATCTGTTGTTGTGCTTTGAGAGGGGTTCCAGTGATTATACTGAGATTAAATAATCCTGTTAGAATGAGGTAAAATCCTGCCTAAACAGAGATAAATGAAGTTCAGGGTTATCAGTGTGACACTTTCATGACCACTAAATTCATCCCAGCTGTTTCAACAAACCTGAGTTCCTGTATTGGTCTAGTTGGTGCAAAGAAAGAACTTCTAATGTCCTATAATGTTTTTCTTTTAACTTGCCTTACGTAACACAAAGTTATTTCAATTTAAGGACTATAATATGCAGTGTGCTAATGATATATCTGTTTCAGTTTGCAGCTCATCTAGTGAAAAACAAGTACCCAAGGGTCTGCATCCTAGATGGAGGAATCAACAAGATCAAGCCAACTGGTCTCCTCACTGTTCCTTCTCCACAGATTTAAATGACTATAAATATTCAGGACAATCCATCTGAATAGGGAAGTCTTACTGTACAACATAGATATCCTGAACACAAAGGGCATTATGATGTTTCCACTGTACAAGCTATCCTGATGATCAGTGTCTTCTCCCGTGCTCTAGATCTGCAGGATTCTTGCATTTAGACTTTGATATAGAGCTTCAGTTGGAACAGATGAAAACTGTGAAGCTTCAAGCTTTCCAAGAAACATCTTTCAGCATTAATGTAGTGCACAACTGGTTGAGCAAGTCTGAACACAAAAAGAGTATCTCATCTGGAATTAGGTATCTTATAAATATTTCTGCAGAACAAAGTAAACTGGCGCTTGATGGCTCTAAGCTGCACTTAAATAGTTTTGTTTTTTTTTTTCAGAAGTATTTTACTGTGAATATTGAAAGTAACAAGCTGAAACTGTACCCTGTGTGTATCCTGTGAAAAAAGTGTTCTCTAATATTTTAGAGTAATTGCTGTATCTTGTGACCTAATTTCTTTTTGAGGAAGCATTTTTTCATCTGGATTTGAAATAAAGATGTGTCCCAGACTGGAAGTCACTGTAACAGCTGCTGCTGAGTCAATCCAATCTGTATCGTATCCATCAGAAGTGGAGAAGCTTACTCCTCTGTGGAGAATTTAATATTCTATTTCCGTAAACACAGCAAACATGACCATTTCTAAAACAGTAATATTTACCAGAAAGGTAGGCTTTTGACAATACCGTGTCTTATGACTATAGATCAGTTATTCCACAAATAATAGTGCTTTTCCATTTTAGAAGCTCATACCTTAAAAAAAAAAAAAAAAAAAAAAAAATGTATTTTTAATGTTCATATGAAAACATTCCAGAATAATCACTCTTGTGTGAATTGGAGGTGCGCAGTTCCCTTTGGTTGTCTACTCTTTCAGCTAGTGGTGTCAATTTTTTTTTTAAGTCCTGTTTCTTAAACATGAGCTCTAAAACTGACAAATCAAGATAGCAAACCTGTTTCTAAAGTAAACTGGATGCAAGTGATGTTCATCGGTGAAAGCAGGCATCCACAAAGGGCATAAGGTGGCTGTGCACTAGAGATGTGGAAATAAATTACTTTGCAATAGGAAACCAGAAGTTTTGAAAGCACCAACAGAAACAGAAATTTGCATCTCTCTGTTGCTGAGAAGCTAAAAACAAATGTAATTCAGACAAGTACCACCTCTAAGATACGAAAAAGTCCCCACCCAAATTTCTCCTCTAAATCCCAGGTTAGCTTTGCTAGCATATCAGGTCCATTATTCTAAAAATAATGTGGGAGGGAAAAAGACTAGGAAAAGAAAAGAATCTGTCTTCAAGAATGTTACTTGGAAGTAGTGCCTTTAATTCAGGAAAACCAGTTGTGATAATGTTAGACTGACAGTATGACTCTGAAATTAAATGGGAATTTGGAATAATTTATTTTAGAAGACAAGAAACTTTTAGATTTCTCTGCATTTTTAAAGTTTAGAAAACACTTGTGTGAAATGAGGCTTAATAATCACTGAAGTGAAAGGATTGAAATGTATTCTGTAAAATTAAAATGACACCAAAGATCTGTTCACCTGGTTACAACTGCATATTAGCTTGCATTGTAAACTTGACACCGTGCTCTTTATTAGACCATCATCTGAGACACAGCAGTTTGCGTGATACAAGCTCACTGTTAGGGTAATGAGGATTTGCTCTGGATATATTTAACCATACACCGTAGTTGAGGATTTTCTCTCATGAATAGTTTTTAGCTTGGCAAACAGAAATTTGCAGGAGCTAACTTTTATTTCATTTTTCTTCTGCTACAGGAGATAGTTGTGAGAGGAGAGAAGGGGAGTCAGTGAGAAGGCTGTGAACAGTCTCTATAAATCCCAGGCAAAATGATCGCTTTTTTGGTGGAATTTTTGTTTTTGTTTTGTTTTTGGTTTTTGTTTTGTTTTTTTTTTTTTCCAGTGGTGGTGGTGCGTTTTGTTGTTTGTTGTTTTGGGAGGTTGATTTGAACTAAAACCATAGAAGATGAGATCTTGTGGAAAGCATTGAAAGAGTAAGGTTTTCTTCTTGCCTGCACAATGACCTGAAAATTTTATCCTGAATCTTCAGAAGCTGGTCTCTAGCACTATATGCTGTCTCCGGGGAAGATTCGTCTTGCCACAGCTGTGGTTTTGAGAACCCTATTGGAAAAGTATGATGAGTGTAAAGAACATGGAGGAAGAAAGGCACTTTTTAACTCCCTTTATTTCAGTTGTGATTGGTCTAAAAAAAAAAAAAAAAAAAGGGCAAAAACCAAACCCAAACCCGTGTAATTACAACATGCTGATATGTATATATATATATATATGGGCTTTCTTTGGTCTAAGGTCAGCATAATGTAGTGAAGCTTTCAAGATGTTTTTGACTTTAAAAATCCAAGACGCCTGGCAGAGTGACCAAATAAGGGATCAGAAATTAAATGCAGGGACAGACCATCGGGTTCCTCTGTTAGCAGAGATTTTCTGCAACAATCTCTGATGAAGCCCAGGGTGCTCAGCTGACTTTAAAAGGATGACCTGGAAATGGAGGGGAGCAGTGAGGTTAATAACAAGCTTCCTGATACTACAAAATCATCTGCTGTGATCAAAGTTCTGCCTGGCTGCACGGAGAACTGGAAAGACCTTGTGATACTCAGTGTCAGAGAGATTCACTATGAAAGGCTACACATGGAGCCCTGGAGAACAAAAATTTTAACCATGTTCAAAAGAGAATTTGTTGACAAATACGACATCATTGTAAATGCTTAACAGCAGCCAGAAAGGCACCCGGGATAGTGGTGATTGTAAGGAAGGAAATGAATAAAACAGGTTATCCCATCAGAGAATTAATCCATATGGTACATTTTGAACACAGCACGGATGCTTTATAATACCAAAAAAAAAAAAAAAAAAAAAAAAGATACACAGGATTAGAAATAGGCAAATAGGCACAAAACGGCGTCAGAATAAGATGATGTTAGTTATGTTGGCTTTAAACTCTTCAGTTTGGGAAAAGAGGCAACCAAAATAGAACATCCCACCTTTTGTCAAAAGTACATCTTTAAAATGTGAATTTGTCACCAGAAGAAGCCAATGGTTTATAAAAATACTTATAAAGGATTAGACAGGTTTGTGGAGGAGCTCTATCTCTGACTATTAACCACGATGGTTGAGAAACAGTATTCAACTGAGGAATTTCCTGATCTGTTGTTGAGAGGCTGGCAGAATGCAGCAAAGAAAGATTTCGCCCTGTTTCTTACACTCCCTTTTCAAGCATTTCCCCTTAATAAGTGAATATTGGGCTATACCCAATACAGCAGTTCAGGTGATGTTATATACTTAATCTCAGCTTGATATTTCCTTTTCCTTTATACAGGTACTCAGAAAAGGAATGTAAGCACAAAGAATAGAATGCCTTTGAGAAAAGAGGATTTAATGTGTACTTAGCTACTTGTTCCATAGGTAGGAGGTATTCTGTATCTCCTATAGATATTTTCATTCTTAGAGAAGCCAAGTTATCTTTTGAGTGAAAAATAGCTAATATTTAATAGCTTCAACAATTGCTTTTTGATTAATACAACTGGGTTTAGTATTTAAATGTTGAATATCTATAGATTTCAGCTATAATGCAATTCAGTTTTCACTTTGAACTTGGCTGAGTAAGATTCAAAGCCTATGTATTCCATTTGTGCATGCATCTGTTTTTGACAGAAGACTTAAAAGCTGCCATTAAGTAAAAGCTTACATTATAAAGTAACATTTACATGTATTTTCCAGGAGAAGTCGTGAGAGTGGATGTGTCTAAAAGCAGGAAATGTCAAGAACCGCTAGACAGTATTGAATTTTTTTCCCATGGAACTGGAACTACCTGGAAGGTTTGTAGCTAGCAGCTGGTTATGGTTGACAGTTGATGATGTACCTGCACTTACTATACTTTAGTCAGCATTTTTTAAACTGTGCCTATAAATAGGCATACTATGCCTACTTATTTTAATTTAGTTATGTGGGACAAAAGCTGCCACAGAATTAGCTTCTGATCTCCTCTTCCAGAGACAGGGAGAATTCTTGCATTTTGTGGTAATATCTCATTAAAGAATCTTACCTAGTTTTTGCAATGTTTACCCGTTTTAAGAGCACCAAAACATATTTGCTCTGTTACCTCACCAATTTTGGCACTTCTTTGGTAGAGCAAGCAGTTGTCAAGTTTCGCAGAGCTCTTGAAAGATTTCTGGAGACTAGGTTTTCCAAACAGGTACGTTTCTTGCACCATGGTTTGTCCAGCTGTACCATTGTCAGTCTTTGTTCAAGACTGCAACTGGAAACTGTAAAGATCAAGTAGGAGGAAAAAAAAATATTCCATGCTGATATCTTCTATTGCTAGCGGAAAAAAGTCCTAACTAAATATTTCCCACTGTTTTGCCTGGAAAATGCAGCCTCTCCTAATCTGTTTTTTCATACAATTTCAAAACATCCTGAATCTGCCCCAGCCTCCTGGGCCTCCATGGACCTACACCTAGCAGGTTCCCCACAGGGTACCCAGATGGGCATCTAAGAACAGAGCAAAGGAGTTAAACCCTCTTTTGGCACTTTCAGGCTTGCTGATCATTGCAGACTCTGAAACAATTGCTGTTAAACTACAGTGTCCTTCTTTAGACAAGGTGTATTTCTTTGAGATTTTTATTACACTTTGCATCTAAGTTTCTTGGTTCGTTTGGGGTTTTTTACAAGTGGCTTTTGTCCTATTTGGCCCACTTTATTGAGCAAAGACAAAGACTATTTGTCCTCATTCTAGGAACCTCCCTTCCTGGACCCACCTTGTTTCCCTTTGTCATCCTAGTTTCTCTAAGTCTAGGTCATCTGCAACCATGGTACCTTCCCAGTTTAGGATGGGAACAACTCACATTATGTAGCAGAAACGAGGGAAGTTGTGGTGTTCGCTTTGCTTTAGCTTTCATTAATCTGGTTTACATCAGATGCTTCGGGTTTGTTTGGGTTTTGGTTTAGGTTTTGTTTTTTTTTTTTTTTTCCTAATTTATCATGAGTTTTCCCTTTCAATTTATGTGCTTCCCACCGTTAATCTAGGGTATTTGGTAGACAGTCTTTCTGATATTTCTGAAGTAGAAACAGTAACCATAACAGCTCAGCAGAGACAGATATGTATTCTTTCACTTCAGTGATTTTTTTTCCCATCTCCTGAATAATCTTTAGAAGTGTAAAGGGCTAAATAATTTGTCAGAGTGGGTAGGGGCTTAACCTTTAATACTATCCTTTTCTTGTTTCTTTTTCCAGGCTTTCATCTATGATTAGGCTAACTGACAAGACCACTAACTACACTTAAATTTGTTGCCATCCCTCCGTGCCTTTGTAGACATAATCTGTGTAGGCATAATACAGTGGTGCAATGTTATTTCTGTGGCCTTCTAGATATCAGTATCTAGGCTTCCCTTGTTATTCCAGCCAGCTAAGGAAGATGCTTATTGGAGTACCTCTCAACTGGACTTCAGAGCTGTATCACACCAATTCAACAAAACAAAAAACCCCAAATTGCACCGGAGTACTTCTTCGCTGGACTACAGAGCTGCATCATACACAACTCAACAAAACAAAAAAATCCAAAGCACATGAGCTCTTCAGAAGCTGGATCATTCATGTTATTATTCAGAGAAGTACTGTGAGAGCCTGTTAATTCTGTGGCCTGAAACATTCTTGCTGTTCCTGTTTGCAGGGCATGAATGTTGTCCAGAATATCCCTTCCAGAGAGTTAATTTGCATTTGCAGTTTTGGTAGCTTATCAAGTTTCTTCAGTTAATATAAAAACTAGCCATATCTTTATTTACCTTTCACAGTGTTCAGATTGCGTTACTAGAAGGTCTGGGAATTGTGTGGGAATGAGAGTGGCCTTTTAATCTCCCGTTTCCAGTTATCTTTTCCTTGCTGATGAGTCAGACTGGCCTCTCCCACTGTTATGTTAGAAACTTAACTACTGCCATCAGTCTTATCTTTCTATTTTTAATTCCTTCTCTTGGGCCTAACTTGTGAAGATTGACTGAAAGAATTATTATTCCTCCCAAAAGAGTGTTTCTTTCCAGGGCGAGTAGTGAAACTTGATCTGTGCTGACTGAGCTAACATCAGATTTGTATATTTGACTAGCAAAACTGCAGATTTTCCTTTTTATTTTAATCTCAAACTATAATGCTAGTATTGTCGTTCTTTTAGGTTTCCATTCTCAGTAGAGAGCTGATGCCAGAAACTACATTCTGTTTTAGAAGTAGTGTTTTGTTTGCCTTTCAAGTAACCATGAGGCTGCCTTTTAAATAGCAACATCAAAGTAGCTGTTGGACAACAGTTTAATATTCTGTAACAACAGAGTCTGTATTCTATTAATTTAGGTTGACAAATTCATCTCATACTACCATAAGCGTTAGTTGAAGATAAATCACAATTGCAGTGTGGCTGTTGTCTTATAGTAACATGTAGTAAACCAGTGTTATACACAGTTTAAAGAAACTGGTCCCAGAAGTAGAATGTTATTGCCACTAAATTCATTTTTAAGTATTTCTTGTAAAGCTTTTTTCCAAAAGGTGTTTAACTAATGTAAATCCACAGTCAGACTAACCTCTGGTTTTGGTCTTACATATAAAGGTAGAGGGGGAGGTATCTGTTGGCATAGTGCTTTTGTGTCCTGCTGTGGCTTGTTAAGACATAGAAATTCTGCTTATCTCAGCAGCAGTAAAACACTATATTCTTTTTGTCAACAGTTTCTCACACTTTTTCAACAAGGAAGTATAGGCACTGAGGCCTGCATGAAGGTATAGCACGGGGGTCTCATCTCACTGACGTGTTTATATGCTACACTAAAATACCACAAGCTAGGAAGTGTCGAGCTTTTTGGATGGATCTCTCTCTTCTGAACCCATCCACCTTTTCTCCACTTGAGATCTATAGTAAAAGGACTTGATAAGAAACAAATCATTTGTGTTAACAGAGATAAATCTAGACCAGAATTTTGGAACTAAATGTCATGGAGTTGATCGTGTGGTATTTAACCTTTCCTAGCAGTCATCATTTTACATAAATTAACATGTGACATCCTGCTGTTACTCAGTTCTCCATAGTTTCAGACTGTCACTGTTCTTACACAAATTGAATACATTCATCCTGTGGATATTCGTGACATGTTCTAACAGCTGTCGAAAGATAGGTTTTTAGCCTTAAACTTTTCTCACTTGGCATTCTCACAGCAAGCTGACTCAAAACAAGTCAGAGCTGTATATTTTTTTTTTTCAATTGCATCCACAGAGAGAACTTTATCTTGTTTGGCAGCTTCGTGTGTAGTTCTGGCACTAGTGAGCACAAGAGTAGCACAGTCTATCTTCTCCTGCGTAATTATAATTATTACTTTTAAAGTATTGTGCAACCCTGGAGCTTCAGAAACATACTTTTAGTGCGCACACAGCATTCAGCTTCCACAAAAGGATTGACTTTCTTGCCATTACATCAGTTAATTTGATTTGCCTCGGTTCAGTTCCTACCTTAAATGCAATTGTTCTCAAACCCTTTGAAACTTGAATGAGACGATATCTCTGATTTAAAATCTTTATTTTGATTAAACCTGTTTTTTGAAGCAATATTGTTTCTCCAGCCTCAAAGACATAGGTGACATCTGATGTAGGATGAGTCCTCAAGAGAGGAACTTAGTGGCACTCAGGTATTACATGTCCTCAGGGTAGATCCAGTTCAGTGCTCTCTGATGGCAGCTCTTTGGCAACTGGGACACTCCTCCTCCAGGTCTGGAAATATGCCCCATTTACAGTATGTACCTGCAAGAACGAGCATGGAGAATTTAGTTTAGTATGTAACTACATGTTATATGTATAGCAATGTAGCTAGCAAACAGCTTTGTTTAAACTGACAAAGCTGTTAAAAACTTCCAGCTCTTT